CTTTGGCCTACTTCCATTTGACCTTTTCTCTGTTAATGTGCAGATGTTGTCCGGATGTATATGTTATTTTGGAGGTATATGTTATTAAGCATTTCTGTGTTTGGGATGGAACTTAGTGATAAGAGTACTTGCCTAGCATGTGTAAGGCCCTAGGTAAGATCCAGCCCTAATCTACACAGCAAGCAAGAGTCAATGTTCGTTTTTAGGCATTCTATTTAGTAAAATATCTATTATCTGAGGTCTCCTTTCTTGTTCTTCTCAGGTTAGCCTGCACAAGTAGAACGTTAGTGTAACCAGAATCTGAGATAAGCCTGGTATAGACACACTGGCTTCCAATAAGTATTTTGTACAAGAAATTTCTACTCATCAGCTTTTGGCAAGAGTAATCTGTGCATTGTGAACAAGTTTCATTTGAAAGGTTCCTCCTTAATTAGATTCTGTGTGTACACAGTCTCACAGGACAGAATTCATAGCTGGAAAACAAGAAAATTTATCATATCCAAATCTTTATGGCCTCCAACCAACTGTGTAAACTGCTGTTAATGTAGATAGAGAAGATGGATATTGATGGAACTCCAGGGCTACTAGAGAAGAGCAAGTAAAATTAAACATACAAACTATTGCCAATATTAAAGATATGCAGAGCCAGGTGTTAGCAACTCATGTCTATAATCCCAACTACTCAGAAGGCTGAGATTTCAGGATCTGAGTTCAAAGCCAGTCTGGTCAGAAATGTCCCCATGAGACTCTTATCTCCAATTAAATACCAGAAAACCAGAAGTGGGGCTGTGGCTCAAGTGGTAGAGAGCTACCCTTTAGCAAAAGAGCTTAGAGACAGTGCCCAGGCCCTGCATTCAAGCCCTACCACCACCAACAAAAACAACAAAAATGTAGAATGAAAGACTAATCCTGATTCTACTAGTTATCACTTGGTAACTATGGACATGTCCTATAGCTAAATACTGCTTGTTAGGTAAAAAGTAGGAAACAAAAGCTTTGGACATAAGGTCCCTTAGTGTATGAGCTGTGAGTACATGTGGGATTTTTTTATAACTAACTGAACTCTTCAAATTTTCTTGAAATAATTGTAGGCTCCCTAGCAATTGTAAAAAGACAACAGAAAATGGTCCTGTTATCCATTGCTCAACTTTCCTCAATGACAACTTTTTGTAAAGCTTTAGTGAAAAATCACAGCCAGAATACTGCAAACTACAATTACTATTTTCCTCTCTCTGAAGAATCGAACCCAGGGCTTCATGCATGCTAGACAAGCACTCTACCACTAAGCGTTCCTAGCCCCCAAATAAGCTTTTTATCCTCCTTCCTTTCCTTTTTCTTTGAGACAGGTATTCTAAAGAGAACAAGAAGATCAGATGACAATGGGCTCATCCACTGATGCTTTTAAGGACTGTAAATGCCAGCACCTTGCCTAGGCACAGAGCAAGTGGTCTGTGCCACGGTCCTTGTCTTCAGCAGCAGTAGCAGAAACAGCATCCATTCCTACACTGCACAAACAATAGCCTCAACCATGCATCTACCTAATGTTAACTAGACATGGAATCAACACAGTGATAGAGAGAGTCTGGAGGAGGTAACTTACACCTGAATGTTAGAGCTGCCTCACATTTGTCAAGCTATGGAAACAGAATGGGTTCTATTAAAAATTAGGATTGGCAATCAGTCTAACTGCACCATTAACCTAAACTGTGCAGTTGACCAGAGGCCCATACTTGGTCAAGTTTACAAGTCTTGATGAGGACATTCTCAGTTCATATACCTGGACCACGAGTGAAGGAGAGAGAGTTGTCTGATATGAGATCAGAGACATCACCAGAAGTACTAATGACTTCATGTAAGCTTGTTTACATGCATTTGCTGAACCAGAAAGGTTTTCAGTACGGTTCAACATACATTTCTAAAGGACTGCTCTTATATGTATGAAAGATGTGTCGGCCAGCTGTTACAATTGTTCAGGTAAGAAGTTGTTAGTGGCATTTGTGATGATGGGTGGCCAGGTTTGGATACATTTGGCACCTAGAACAAGCAGGAGCTGCTGGAGGATAGTAAGATGTGAGGAATAAAAGAGAGTCAAACAGGACTTTAAATTTTATAAGCAAAAAAAAAAAAAAGAGTCACTTAGGTGTCATTTATTCAAGCAGTAAACAGTGAGTAGAAAACAGGTTAAAAGGAACCTGCTGAGCGGAGATAGGTGTTAGTGGTTCACATCTGTAATCTTAGCTACTTAGGAGGCTGAGATCTCAGAATAATGGTTGGAAGCTAGCCTACACAGGAAAGTCTGTGAGACCCTGAACTCCAATTAACCAGCAAAATGCCAGAAGTGGAGCTGTAGCTCAAGTGGTAAAGCATTAGCTAGCCTTGATGAAAACAAAAACAAAACAAAACTCAGAGACACTGCCCAGGCCCTGGGTTCACACAATTTCCAATTCAAGCTCTAGAAACTAATAAAAAAAAAAAGAGTGCTGAGTTTAATATACTAATAAAGGCTATCCAACCCTATATCTATGACTGTTTGAATTACTAGTTAGAAGTTGTACTCTTGATAGAGAAAGGCAATAGAAAAGAATTATTTATAATAGCAAAGAAATATCTCAAAGATTCACTAATTGGAAAATGTTCATGAAAATTATTGTATACCTACTCCACAATGCTAAAGAATCATTGTAACATTATTTAAGGTGGTAATAACATGAAAAACATGTTTAAAATTCTGAAAGAAAAGAAATTGTACATGCTCTAACAATATTTTATTAAGAAATTTGAACTTTAAAGCTGGGTGCTGGTTGCTCACACCTGTAATTCTAGCTTAGGAGGCCGAGATCGGAGGATCAGGGTTTGAAGCCAGACTGGGCAGGAAAGTCTATAAGACTTACTTCAATTTAGCACTTGAAAATCAGAAATGGTGCTGTAGCTCAGAGTGGCAGAGTGCTAGTCTTGAATGAAAAAGCTCAAGGACAGCACCCAGGCCTTGAGTGCTAGCCTCATGACAAAGACAGACAGAGAGAGAGAGAGAGAGAGACAGACAGACAGACAGACAAACAGAATTTGAATTTTAATGAATTTCAAAAAAGGAAAGGCTGGGCTGGGAAGGTGGCTCAGTGGTAGAGCGCTTGGCTTGCATGCTCGAGGCCCTGGGTTCGATTCCTCAGCACCACATAAGCAAAAAAAGAAAAAAGCCGGAAGTGGTGCTGTGGCTCAAGTGGTAGAGCACTAGCCTTGAGCTGAAGAGCTGAGGGACAGCGCCCAGGCCCAGAGTTCAGGCCCCACGACTGGACCCAAAAAAAAAAAAAAAAAGGAAAGGCTGAAGTTCTAAAGGTTGGTAGAATAGAGTTCAAACATGCTTCTATTTTCCTTCCTCTAAATTTTCCTGTTTATTTTTGAACCTATCTGTCCAAGTATATATAACCCTAAAAAACTACTATTGTTGACATTATAGTTTTTAAATTGTTTATAACTTTGGATTCAATTGGCAGTATAGAATCAAGGAAGAAAAATCGTTAAGGCAATAGAGACACTACCCACAGTATTTATTTCTAAGGATTAGGATATAACAGGGTGGTAGTAGTGGAGAAAAAGGCCCTTTCATTCTCCACCAAAGAGTACTGACACTGGTACTTATAATGGTTGCATCTTATATTTGGTAAATCTCCAAGCTAAAGAGGTGTCTATTAGCATCTCTTTAAGTTCTGAATATCATTATTCTCTACAAAAGTAAGAATTAAGATTAAGATGGCCATGAAAAACTATGTCCATGAAATAATTCTGAAAGAATTCGCTCAGCACTAACAAGAGAATGGCTGCATCCTCTCAGAAACCATGGAACAAAAGTAAAAAGCACTTGGTAAAAATAAATGAAGAATTCTTATTTAGACCTCATATATTTTCCAAATCCTTTTGTGAAGATCTTTTAATAATCACTCATTACTAGGACTGATAATAATATTCTTTTCTTAAAAACAGTTCCTGGTGATTTTGTCAGGCCACAGAACAACATCATAATGATGTAGCGCACTGAGTAATAATTATCACCATTCTGGTAATAACCAAGGTTGAACTCTTCAAGGAAAGAGGCAAGATGATACAGCATAGATGTGTAGTTTCCCTCTTACTAACAAAGCTAAAGGTAGAACCTAATAATAAAAAATAAATGAAGACATCTGAAAAGAAAACATACTTTCAACTTTACACTCAATAAACAATTATGAAAATCTCATATTTTGCATATATGTCATATATTTGCATATATGATATGCAAAAAGGATCAATAATCAAGGAACCTATTAAACATATGAATGCTGCTAAGTAGGAGGAGTTATAGAAGAGACCAAGTGATTTGAGGGTTAAAGACTAAACAGACATCAGGGGAAAAAAAGACAGCACAGGCAACATTACACAGCAGGAGGAATGAGCTTTGACAGTGATTTCCTCAACAGGCTTTGCCATTGTGAAAAAACACAAAACACTAAAGCTAAGATCAGATCTAAACTCTTCATCTAGAACAAAATCTCAGCCACCAAAAAAGTCTTCAAAACTACTGAAAGCATGTCAAAGCCTGGCAGGACGAACAATGGTTGAGGCCACAAATGAGTCTGCCATTCCTTTTGACAGTACAAGGAAATGTACAGCCCTAAGTGGAATCAATATGATGAATGACAGAGTAGCTTTAAAAGAGTTGAAAAAGAAGGAAGTAGGATAATTGGTATCATTACCTATTAAACACTTGAACAACAGGTAGATAAGAAACCCTAAAAATGCAGTAGTTATAAATAAATGTATTCAAATATGAAGAAATACAATTACTCTGTCTTAAAAAAAGGCAGAATTACATATACACAGGGTCAGTTTGTTACTATGGAATCACATGTGATGTAATACATTTAACATTCTAAATGCAGAGCTAGACAGATCAAGCAAGCAATGGGAAATGGAGCTGGGTAGAGGAAAACCTGCGTAACAGCAAGAGAATTACAATAATTAAAGACATGAGTCAAACATCGTTGAAACAGAAAAGGAAGGTGAGTGAGGTAAATATCCTACATTCTTACTGGGGAGCTTGGGAAATGTAAATATTAGTCCATTACTTCCCTGTGGGAATGTTCTTCTAAAACCAAATAATTTCAGATAATGGCTACATGCAGAGGAAAATGGAGGGAGGAGATGAAAAGGAAATGGAGTGGGAAAGAATAGATTAAAGCATATGGTATAAGTCAGTCTAATAAATCAGCATTTACTGAGCATGCCCATATGTTAATGGTAAGAAGTAAAAACACAATGTTTGTCTTTGAAGAATGCCAGTGCAGGAGGACCAAGTACACATAAACACAGTACAGTTCAGTGCTCAGTAAAAGGCACAGGAAAAACAGAGGGATGTTTAACTCTGGGAACTGCCCCCAGGTTACAGTGAGCTGAGTTTTGAAACAGTTACAAGGAAATATTCAGGATGATACAAAGACAAATAAGGCATAAAAGACAGAGCAGTGGGCCTTCAGGTTGGAGGCAGAGAGAAGTTCATCATGAAGTTCTGTCTAACCAAGTGAATAAAATGAGTAAGATTAATTAGATTTGCACTCCATAATGAGGAGGATGGATTTGAAGTAAGGAGAATGTGAAGCCACGAAACACATTTTGAAGGCTTTATTCCAACCCACAGGTAGGAAAGAAGTAGAAGTCCAAGACCCACCAGGGCAAAATTCAAGGCCCTACCTGAAAAATAACAGAAAAGGTGAAAAAGAGCCAGAGGCGTGGCTCAAAGTGGCAGAGTTCTTGGCCTAGCAAGTTAGGGCGCCTGAGTTTAAAAAGCTCAATACATTCAAACCCAGTACTGCCCCACCCCAAAATCCATTCCCAATGACCTCACGCCCAGCACAAAACAATAAAAAAGGAATTGGGTTTAAACTACCTTGAAGTTAGAAATGGCATGATATTATAGTGACTGGAAATGAGAGGAGGATATTGACAGAAAGATTTTAAAATCCATTCAAGAACCAGGAAAATCACATTTCTCTCACATTTTCTTCTAATCTGGATGTCATCCAGAATGTAAATACATAAATGAATGCATGAATGCTTACATAAAGGCCCAATAATTATCTCTTGAAGTTGAAAACATCAGTGTTTGAATAGGTTTCCATAAAGTCATCCTCTTGTCTTTATGCAGTTTGTCCTATTAGCAAAAAATCCCTTTCAGCCCTACATGCTGAAAGTAATTCCATGATAAGACCAGAAGACGTGCCTACCAATACCTCTGAATAAGATTGAGAGCTCTGCTTTTAAAAGCCAGACTAATACTGCTAAGGCTCAGCTACAGGTATTAAGAAATGAAAACAGCTGGGTGTGATGATACAGGCCTATAAAATCAGAACTGGAGAGGTGGAATGACTGAAGCAGGAGGGTTTTGAGCTCATCAGCCTAAGATTTGTAGTTTGATTAAGGTTAGCTTGGAACATTCAATTAAATCCTGTCTCAAAATCCCTTCCCAGAGTGATATCTATCTAGCAAAAGGCATTGTACTTATACATGGATTTGTTTAATGGTGACCCATTTGTACCAGTAGTTAAAATAAATAAATAAGTCCCTTCCTCCAACCACCCTTCAAAAAAGAATAGAAAGCAAAAAAGAATGTTAATTCTACATGGATGAAAAATAAAAGTTATTCTGCCTAAGCAATGTCACATTTAAAGGCAATGTTTACTGACCCTCGGAAAATTCTCCCATAGCATTCCTCACGTTTTCATTTTTAAAAGATAAGGGTTTCATGTCTCCAACATGTGAACCAACAAATTTATATGAACAAATGTTCAGATGAATTGTGATTTACGAAATGTGGGATTTATGCTTCTTTGAATGGGGGGAAACAAAGTCATAGACTTATTAGAACTTGGCAAAGTAACCAATTCTAGGCTTTACTTATCCCTTTATTCCTAAACCCAAGGTTTCTAAGCCCCCAGAGATGAAAAATTAATAAGCATTCTTTGTTTCCATGTTAAGAATGAGACCGGAATGCGATACTCAAAAGACAGTCTAGATGCAGATAAAAGAAGGGAATCTGATAAACCGGGACCTGATAAATCAGCTCGACTGAGCACACAGGTGAGCTGAGCTCTGTCTGCAGAATTGGTAAGAAAATGAAACAGCACAAAGCCCAATGGAAAACACTAAGGGGACAGGAGAGTTCTGGGAGACGAGAGTGAGCCATTCAAATCTGTACTAGGGGACAGCTAACGTCCTCATGAGAAGGTTAACAACAACTCCAGGAGAAGCTAGCCCCTGCCCTCCCTCTAGTCCACCTTCATCTCATGTTCCTACAAGTATGCGTGTACAGATGCCACAGCCTCCTCCACTCGGCCAGTGGGAGGAGGAGACTGGTCTTTGTTCAGATCCGGGAGGGAGGGGGAGTGTGGCTATCACATTGACCGTTTTCTGCACAATCTTTCAGATGAGGCGTGCAGTCAATCCGAATCACTTGCTGAGATGTTGTCCCATGCGGTGTCACCCGTCGTGTAGACGCTGCCTTTGTGCAGTTGAGGGAACTAGCCCCTGCCACACTATGCGTATTTATATTCACATGTGCCTGTTGTGGGAGCAGGGCCGGCAGATCACCATGATCAGGGTGAGCAGACTGAAATGCGAGGGGGGAGATTCAGGCAATCTGGGTAGGGGAAGGATGTGGGGAAGAGCACTCTTCCACTTATGTCCTCTGGCATCTTTCTGAAAGGAAAGGCAGTATGCTCTGGTACATAGCTACCTCCGAGCTCTGCTGCAACCTTGGTTAGGCACCAGCTGCCCTTATGTTTGTAGTATGGCAGATTTGACAGATAGGTCATTTTAAAACCTCTTACTAGGCTTTTCCTGAAGTGAGCAAGGTGGGGGAAAGGGAGGGAAGACAGGCAACCTCTACTAAGTTCTCTCTATAGAAGTCACAGGTGAAACACTGTGAGCTATCGTATCTGTTTCTTGATTTTTGGATGTTCTTCTGGGTGGATTTCTACTTTTGTTGCTTCACACAGAGTTTAGCATTGAGCCAGAGTCACATAGATTTAGGGTAAAAGAATGAAGGGTCAGAGTCCAGAGTCCTTTCTGAATACTAGTTTAGCCTGGCGTGGCTATCTTGTAGGTACATTGAAGAAGTGGGTGGTAGGTTACACCCCTGGGTCTCCTCTCCTTAACAGGGCTCCCAAGAATTATCAATGCCAAAGACAGAGTCTGGAGGGTACCACGTGCGCAATCAATGGTCCCGATCACCACGGAGCCCATCCAACGGGGCTCCAGTAGATGATCCCAGAAGCAGGAACAACAATACTAAGGTACAGCTAGATGAAAGGGAGATGTGGATGATAATGAATAATGCTTTGCATCTATTGAGGCATTCTATGTGCCACACATGTCCTCTAGACTTCCATTGTTTTCGTTCTAATTTGCCCTCTGCAAATCAGAACTCCCTGTTGTGGAGAAAAATCAAAGCCCAGAGGTTTAATAAGTGGTAGAATTCAGATTTATAAAAACAAAAAACAAACAAAAAAAATCCAGGCTCTCTTAGGGCTGGAGGCTGTACTCTTTCCTTCCTTCCTTCCTTTCTTCGTCTATTCAACAAACAGGTATTGAGGAACCATGCTCCCCAGAAATTGGCTGGAAGGGTCAACAAAAGGGACAATGTTACATGGTATTCGATAATGTATAGCTAGGCCTGCCCCGCCCTCCACCACAAGAGAAATGATATATAGTTCTAAGATTATTTTCAGATGCAGAGAAAATAAGACAGACCCAGCGAGAGAATATGTATTCAGATCCCATCCATCATCTGTCATGTTTGATTCAATAATCTCGCCAAGGCTCTCCCTTTTGAATTACGGGCGAAACAATCATTAAAAGTGAAATCATAATCTATGGAGGTTTAAGAATATCTTCCACACTTGAATGTAGGGCTCCTTTGGTGGAAAGGATTTCTTCCTAAAGCTTAATCTTGTGTTACTTCGCTGGCATGTAAAGCTGATTCCCCCCTCCACACACACACACACACAATCATTGTATTCTTTACCAGGCCAAGGGGTGAAATCAACCCCTCCCCACCCCCACCCCTCCTCCTGCTGAGCTACAAGAGTGTCCTGGGCATCGGACAATCTGTCCACACAGTGAACAAGACACTGGGTACACAAGGAATACTGCTCAAGGACCCCCCCTTCTTCCCCCCCCCCGCCCCAACCTGTCTGGAAGCTTCCGACTGGGCAGGTGTGTGCCAGGCAGGCGAGGGTCAGATCCCTGCAGACTCTGTTCCCTCTGCCTAAGAGTAAGGAGAACCTGTGTGCTATTTACTCAAAACCAAAAAGAAGGAGGTGCGGCGAGCGGGGCGGGGTTCACCTGCGGGGTGCTGAGCTGAGAAATGGGGGGGGACAAGGTGGGGAGCAGGGAGACACTCAAAAGTAGACACAGGTACTCGACACCAATTTCACAGAAAAGATCGCGTTTCTGGCGCCGAGAAACGCCTGCCTCTCGGAAGCTCTGTGGATGACACCCAGGATCCAGACCCGCGCGCGGGGGTGTGGGGCGAGCTCCCCCCGGTGGGAGATGGGGGGGTCCCCCTTGGATTGAGGAGGCCCCGCTCTCTTGCTCTAGCTCCCCACCAGCTCCGCCGCCTCCTCCCGGACCTCGTCAGCCTCCGCCAGCCAGCATGAATCGCCTCCGCAACACCTGTCCACGCAACCCTCGCCGTCGCAGCAGCCGCCGCCACCGCAGCAGCCGCCGCCGCCACCAACTATAGCAACAGACTTCCTAGGCTTCCCCTCCGCGCCCCCCCCCCCCGCCTCGGCCCCTAGTTTAGATCGCTGAACCAAAGTGTCCCCACTGCACGTTCGGCTCTGGCAAATATCAGATAGGATTACAGTGATGAGGAGAGAGAAGCGGCCGCCATGGATTGACTGTAGGGCCCAG